CCATTTTGGTCTTATTTTAAACCTCACCTATAAAGCAATAACACAATTTACAAAGTAAAGCAGACAATATATATATATATATATATATATATATATATATATATATATATATATAAAACATTATACAAAATAATATAGAGTAGCATAAAACACACAAAGTGAACCAATTAAAAAAAAAAGTTAAATATCAAAATAATGATAAAAAACAAACAAAAAACAAAACAATTAAAAACACAAAAAAAACAAAGAAAAAAACAAAACAAAAAACAAAAACAAATAAAAATTACAAATAATAAACATATTTCAAGGTATGTTATGTATCACAATGTTTCATGATTAGAGCATTTTTTAATTTGAATTTAATTGTGGACAAGGACGGATAGGGATAAATGGCCAGATAGGGTCTCCAACATCACACTGAGGGAACTGACACAACAGCCCCCTGCCTCCCAACTGGCAGCACAGCGTCGATTGCGCTGGTACGGCCATATCAGGAGACTCCCCCCAGAACATCCTACTCACGCTATCCTCCCCTTCCAACCCAAAGCTGCCGGCTGGAAACGCCCCCGTGGAGCCCCCCGCACATGATGGATTGACGTCGTCACCGGGGACCTACACCAACTGGGCCTGTCGCTTGCCGTAGCCGAACCGCTAGCACTGGACCGACCCCAATGGAGAAGATTGGTGAAACTGATTGGCTCTACGCATGGCGCCGTCCCCGTCCCCGAGCAAGAGACCTGATGATGATGATGATGACAAGGACGGACAATTATTCAATAAATGCACGTTACTGTTCCATAATTTGGATCCACGGTATCGTGTTGAAAATTGTGCACAAGATGAATGATACAGAGGTAGGTATAGGTTATTGGTTTGCCTAGTGGAATATTGGTGAACCTGAGAAGTACAAATAAAAAAAATTGGGAGGCTGACTGGTAAGGTTGCAGGTAAGTGTTTAGACTTGAAAACAAAAGTACATATTTGAAAAGTATTTATATCAAAAATAGATAGTACCTTACATTTCAAGAAAAGTGGAGCAGTTGCATCGTGGTATTTAGAAGAAGTTGCCATTCTAACAAAACGTTTCTGCAGTAAAAATATCTTTTGGGGATATGTTGGGAAAATGCTAGCCCATACAATGTTACAGCACGTAAGATAGGGATGAATTAAACTGTAATATAAAGTTAACATACAAGAGGAATGTAAAGTTGGGGTTGTAAAGTAACATCGAACAAAGCAGCTAATCAACATGGTTCTTTTGCAGTCCTGTAGCTGCTGTCCACTGTGGTGGTAAATACCCCCAGAATGTTAGTGTGTGTTCCTTAAGCCATATAGAGATGTCTTTGATGGAGTCATCAGGAGCATCCATTAAAGAGCTGTCAAATTAGGCCTGACCGTACGCTTCATCCAGCACCGCACATCAGTGTAGAAAGCTGGTACTTACAACCCATTTCCACCGGGCCTTTTAAGTAAAACCTCAATCTTTCGCTCATGTGGTCATCAGCGAGGCTAAGGACCATTTATTACATTTCAAGACGTGTTAATCTACTGGAGAATCAATTTCACCTTTTCAGTAATGACTCATAAGATAGTCAAGAAGGCTTGACTAATTTCCAGAGGATAATAGATTTTATCCATTTTATCCTCTCATTTTTGGTCTCCGGCAGAATGAAAGAATCAGTTAATTAATAAGTGAATCAGTTTGGAAATTCAATGGATTCCTTTTTTTTTTTTTTTTTTAAAAAAAGCACAATTGTTACAATTTTAGGGCTGCATGCTGTTTAAAATCCGCTCCCCTGTCTCTAAATATGCAATAAAATTTTTATCCAGGGTGCCACTCATATCCAAAGCGTCCTCTTTTGTGTACGAATCTGCATATTTAATTAAACATCCGGCAGAACAAACAGGATGCAACAAACATTAGCGCTAATGAAGGGAAGACAAATGACATCCATGATGGTGATCGCTGCGTCTGCATGGCTCTGACAGCCTTCCCCATCCCTTATCATTCAGCTCACCTTTTTTCTGTCTCTTTTATCACCCAGTCTTTCAAGCGCCCGCATGATAAATAACCGCATCAAACCCATTAACCAGTCGTGAGCTCGAGCACCAAAATAATCCATGAAGAGTAACTCACGCCTCAGAAGCAGAAAAGGAACTCCCCCTTCTGCTACGATCCTCTTTCTTACTCGCTATGTTCTCATTAATTTTCCCAAAGAGGCCTGTCAGCCGGGATAGTACATTATCCATTCATCAAGGCGTCATACTCCGGCGGCAGCACATATTGGCTGAAAGAAAAGGTCAAGCAACAAAATTTTGTGTTTGCAACCTAAAGTGTGCCATTCAGCATTTTAATTAACAAGCCCAGGCCAATGAAAAATGAATGAGCTGGGAGTAGGAGGGGGAAAAAAAGTCTTTGTATCGCCTTGAGGAGAACAGGCCTGAGACATAATGATAATGTACAGAGTCCCTGAGTACAATGAAAAAGCTGGTGAGGGATACCAAACCAGAGTGCCTGAATGGCGCCGCAAACATACACTGAAAAGCCGGTTAAAGGGTATACCTTATTACAACCTGGCACATAAATGACGAATGATTTATCAAGTCCTACCTTAAAACATTTAAAAAGTCAATTTAGGCCGGACTTCTCCAGATAAACTGGCTCAGAAGCAGAAGCGAATGCTATACATGTACAAAGTGATGAAATTGACTGTAAGGTTTCAGGACCTCGGACAGCGCCCCGTGATGAAATATAGAAGCCAATTTTAGCCAACAATCGAACACTTACATGCTGTTTTCTTCCCTTTGGAAGTGAAATTCACCTCAAATGAGCAGTACCTCCCACTTACATTGGTATTGGATTCTGAGGCGAACAAGACACCTGAACGTATACGGGGCCTATTAAAAAATGTTCACCCACTTTTGTGTATGTACTGGGGAAGATTCAGTCTGCTGACCAAGAACAATTATTATAATAAGTCATCCAATGCATAACTTGATGGTATGATAGCTGTTTTATAGCATAGTGATGTTGTTGAATCAGTTTCTGTTATTATAAATGTTACAAAATAAACGTTTTCTCTTCACATATAATCAGAATTAGGCTATGTTCACACTGCAGGTCAATTCCAATGTTTGAACCATATGTGACACAAATCTGATTTTTGATATCTGAAGTGTGAACAGTGCAATTCAGATTTTTTCAAATCCGACCCAGGCCTCTTTTGTATGTGGATATAAATCGGATCTGTATCCGATGTGACTGCAGTGTGGACGCTCAGATCGCGTTCATCCAACCTATACGTCATCAATATGCGACGAACGTCACCATTCTTCGATAACACAAACAAGCGTGGAAAGCAATGGCGGACAAGGGAACGGAGAACAGCCAGTGGCGAAAAGAAGAAACATTAGAGTTGATAAATATATGAGGAGAGGTCAGTTCAAGCCAAAATAGAGGGCTCATACTGCAACCGGGCGGTGTTCGAGGAAAATTGCCAAGGAATTGGCCGAGCGAGGCATCAAGCGTTCCTGGCTGCAGTGCCAGCGGAAAATCAAAAGCCTTCGCGCTAAATTTAAAGAGATAAAGGACATTAACCAAAGAAGTGGAGGCGGTCGTGTAACCTGTCCATTTTATGAAGAGCTGTCTGCTTTTAGAGCTGCTTGATAGCTCCATAGAAGAGCATCACGTCCTGCTTTGTGCGCATGCGGGTCACTTCACGGACACATTCCGTTCACATTAGATGACGCATTGTTGTAATGTGAATTACCGCACAAAAAGATCGGATTTCAGGTTTGAGTAAAACAACCTGTGCTTCAAACAGAGTGCATGGTTTGACCAAAAAGCCAACCTGGGACCCCTCCAGTCCAAGATGCAATCAAAAGATCCTTATGCTCAATTTGTTTGTGATCCATCTTATGATCTGGGGACAGCTCACAACCGGAGAAGAGATCTGAGCTCAAACTGTTGGTGATGGGTGATAGGTTCACAAACCAGGCCTTTCCTCATTGTGAAACCTGCCTAATTCCAAAGCCAACAGAAGATGAAAACACTGCCCACATTCAGAGGTTTGAGGCTATATTTGTTTTCCTTGAGATGAAATCCATTTCCTCTCAGGTGGGTGGATACGAGCTCACTAATTTGGCAATTCGAAAAGATGTTCAAATTCATGATTGTTGTTGCCTAAATGGAATAATCTCTTTTGATGTTTGGATGTATGCCATGTCAATACCAGAGGACAAAACTTACAGACCCAGTGGAAAAAAAAAAAAAAAAATCCTTGAAGCTGGATGGCATTGGAGCCCATTTATAATCAACTACATGGACTGACAGGCATAAAGATGGACATGAAAAGCATATGGCTCATGATGAAAACATGCTATTTTACGCAGTGCGATATTGGCAAGTATTAATTACACATGAACACATGGAAAAAGGCTGCCAGGATCACTTACCCCTTCAGTGCAGGGCGGCCTTGTGTAATCATTGAACCCATCCTATGTGGAGGCATTATTTCCACAGGAGACTGTCGGGATTTTCATGATACTTTCCAGTGCGTGGCCTGCTTCCGTTGCATCGACTCAGAAACTTGGTGCTGTATTAAATTTCCATTTTGTAACATAAACTCTCATAGAGCAGACAGACATTTCTTGTGGGTCAGTGCTGGAGCTTATCCCAGCATGCATTTGGCTCTCGGCCATTGGCAGGGTAACACCATGTTGAGATGAGCAGACGGCTTTTCTCATGTCTCTGACATACTTGACCTTATCTTTGTAATGCCACAAGCACAGTTATAGCCAAGTGTCGACCTTAAATTAAGCCAACCTGGATGGAGTAAAGCTAAAATCTGCATGAATATGGGAGCGTTTTTTTCGTGCGATTATTTCAGAGGTCAATATTTTTTTTCGAACCTGTATCCTGTCAATACAAGCGTTCACATCAACAACGTTTTCCCCGTCCTGCAATATTGTGGCATTTATTTTTCCGTATCACAGTCAAATTTTCTAAAGTTTCGCATACTGTGTGTCCACTTCTGACCAATCAGATTCTGTGTTGTTGCGACGGTATATCCAACATGGCCGACCGGCTGATTGTTTATGTGTCTGAGAACAGAGTGCTTTTTGATAAAAAAACACAAACATTACAAAGATAACGACCTGAAGGACAACTTGTGGAGAGTCATAGCGTTACTCATATGACGATGTTTTGTGTGCTTTAACAGTTTGCTAAACGTCTTTGTTTTAACTTTCATCTGTGCTAAGTAACTTTAGCTCATAAGCTAACCTGTTCAGATACAACATACCATATGTATTTTCACTGTCTCAAACTCAACCGCGTTGCTGTCACAGCACCATTAGGTCTCGGTTGTTACCTTACGTTTATGGATTATAGTTTAATGTGCTTATCTGGTACTGGCCCCGACTCAGTACATGCTATCATGACAGACAGACATCTCAACACTAGTGTCTAATCAGAACTGAAAAACAGTCAGTCTGCTGTTGTGTCAGTCTTCTCGCTTCCACCCAGGACGCGTCTTTTTTCCCTCCAGAAAGTCGCAAAATCTTTGCGTCGTTCCCGGTGTGTAAGGACCTTTACACAGTGAAACTGAGACCCACCATGTTGGCTAAAACAGAAGTTCAGTGTCTGGGTTCCTTGATTAATTTTCTCTTCAGCAGTAAATCCGAACCTTTTTCCTTGGACTTCTCACCCCTTCTTTGTATCATAGGAAAGCAGAAACCTCAGAGCAGACAAAGCCAAAGAATTTAGAAACAGATGCTCTATGAAATCTGGAGAATCATTATTTTTTTCAGCATCATTATGATTCAAACACAGACGATGAGTTCAAGATTTGAAGTCTGAAATAAACCCAATTATTTTAACTACGCAGTTAAAACCCAAGAAAAGTCAAAGGGCTTTGGTAAAAATCCTGTGAGGCTGGGATGAACTAACCTCTGGCTGAATATTAGTGGTCAAAGGTCAGTGACCTTCACCTTTACACATTTGTATCAAAGCAAGAAGTGACCTGAGTTTCATGAGAAAAGGGAGAAAGTTCTTTAGAGCTACTTGATTGTGGAAGTGAAAAGTGGTCAGCTTTTCTTGAGTAGATGTATTGAAATTATTTTCTACAATGTGAACAGGATGCATTTCAATCAAATGGATCTTGGATCCAATAAAAATAGAAATAATTCAGACATTACTATTTAGAAAAAGTAAGATCCTTGAAACGTTAACCCAATTCTTAATTACAGTGTGAAAGATGGTTACTGCTAGGTTTATTAAAGAAGAGAAAAAGCAGATTTCAACTTTTTTGTACTATCTGGGTCTTTCAAGAGATGGCTCAGTCTGGTGAAATAATACAAAGAATAGATGTGCAAGCAAGACACACAAAAGAGTACCTCGGTAGGTAGGTAGGTAGGTAGGTAGGTAGGTAGGTAGGTAGGTAGGTAGGTAGGTAGGTAGGTAGGTAGGCAGGCAAAACTAGGACAATATGCAAATCAAGCACAGTACACCAAAAACATACTCAATTATTCAATATATTGTTATACTGCAAATGTGTTTCTCTACATTTTATGTACTAGTCGCATCATAGAACTTTTTTAAGAAGTCTTTAAACTTTTTTAAAGTGTGGTGAAAGTGTAGTTAAAGTATGTAATAAACAAAGTTGAAGTGTACTTTTTTGCTTTTGTAAAGTCCCGTTCACCCATTCAGTCATTTTAAGCAACAAAATGGTTACGGAGGACAATAAGCAAAAAGGATAAAGTCTAATATACTTCTATCTCAAACAAAGTAGAGCAGTAATTCTACCATATAACTTTCCTCCTGTGATCCTACAAGGTGTTATTTTTTTTATTTTTTTATTTATTATTTTTGCTCTGAACCTCACGCTGAACCAGGATGATTCATTTGTGACCTCTCTGAAGTCCCGCAGCTTCGCCGTTATGACAGTGTGCCCTTATTTACCCCGAAGAACACCTGAGGCCATTTCTGAGGAACAAAAGCTAACAGCCTTCTGGGTAAAAAAGGTTGAATGCAGCAGTTTACTCAGTTTGATCAGTGCAAGAGAAAAAATAAATAAATAATAAAACTAAAAAAACGAACAGTATCAAGGCTGAGAGAGGAAAACATTTACAAAATCTAACACGCAATCTGATTTTCCAAAAGTAGGGCATAATGGAGACTTTATTCTTCCATTTAGCGAGTGTTTATGCTAATCGAGGTGAAAAGGCTCAGCTCGATATAGATCATTGCTTCGGGGATGAGTGCAGTTAAATCAAGACTTGGGGTTAACTGGATATAATATGGCCTTACCATGTAAGGCAAGTGCTGCGGGACCACAGCAGAAGAAATGAAGGAGCCTATAAATGGTAAATGGTCTGGCCTTTTACAGCTTCTTTCTGGTCTTTCCACTGCTCACAGGGCTTAGCCGTAGACACAGTAGACCTGATTTGCACTTACTATCGGGGACGCTTTGGTGCAAGATGCCAACCTTCTTATCTGGATACTTTTTGATCTTTGATAATGAATACTCACACAGATACATTAAAACCAATTAAACAGCCATTGAAAGCTCATATTGAATATATAGAATCCAGATGAGGCGATTGGGAATAATTGTTCTTCCAAACTCTTATCTGGGTGCAGAATGATTTTACATAAAGAGATCAACAACAAAATGGATATAAAAGCTTCACATCATGCACATAAACCATTCAATACCTATAGGACCAACCCCACTCTTAGAGACTGATGGTAAAAATTGCCACGAATGATTTACTTCCCAGCACTTGAGCCAACAGTGCAATAAGTGGCACTTATGCTAAACATGCAGTGACATAATGATACAGAATATTAATGGTTTTGAAGGTTTAATGGGTTGTTAGCGTGCAAACACAGCCCGTAAAGTGGGGAAATATGACTAAAAATTACATAACTATTTGTTCCCAAGAGGAAATAGAGGCTGCCAATTAAATTTAAAGATGTAATTGCGGTAAATGCATGTAAAAAGCCAACAGCAGTTGATGTTAACTTTGAAAACTTAATAGAATTCACTTTTTTTTCCTATGCTGTTATAGTTTTCCAAACCCTGCTGCAATGTTTAGGGAGCTAGCAAGCTAATTACAGCACAATACTGTAAAATAAAAGTGTTTGGATCTTAACCATATGTATGAAAGCTCAGTCTGGTTATGGAGGTGTAACACGTCTGTTTTACCCCCGGGTCTGAAAAATGATGAGATACAGAATAATTCATTAAACTGTTGAATATTTAATTAAAAATTCCCATCCCATATGTTAAATGCCAAATCCACTTGCAGCCTTTTACTGCATAGAAGGTCTTAAATGCAACAATGGTCTCCATTCGGAGAGTCCAGGGGTGATTTTGTTGTTCGTTTTTAATCAGCACTGGATATCCGCCACCCATCCAAGTCCAGTCTCAGTCCAGACACAGAAATAATTTGATCCCCTGTGACCATTTTGGCTTCCAAGTTAAACAAAAGGCTGGTGTCAGAGAATAAGAACAAAGCTGCTCGACTTTGTCAAATGCTTTTCCAGGTTGGGGAGCGTTTGATATCTCTGCTGGAAAGAATGGTATTTAACAGCATATAGGGACTACATTTTCATAAAATAAAGCAGTGGATTAGGGTGAAGTACTGTTCAAATGTCGGTATAAATCAATATTCAAGCATTTAGTGGACATATTGCCATAATATTTCTTACACTCAGTCCCCAGAGGATAAATCCTACTAATCTTGACGCTCCAAAACTTCACTTGCTGTTGATTTTCGCTTTAAAAGAGACTCAATTATATAAACACATGCAATAAAAATATAGATCGCTGTTGTAGTGCCTGAAAAGAACCCCGCTCTCCGGAGGATAACTCTCACAGACTATTGCTGTCTTCTTGCTTCTCTTTTATTACTGCAAGCAAGTGGAAATTTGGTCAGCACTCTAATAAACCCTGCTCTTGGGTTACCATGACATTACTCAAAATCAAGAGCCTCAGGAGATGAACCCTACTGATTTGTAAGTGATCCTCTGACAAAACCGTTAGCGCCAGAATTTAAGTAAAACTTCTATTTTGTTACGTCATCTTTTTTTTTTTTTTTTTACCTCTTGGCTTACATAGTTCAGCAAATGCTTGATGCCATAAAATTCTTTATTTTCTTTGTCCTAAGAGGATGGATCCTGGCGGTTCTAGGATCATTAGCGCTACATGTTGGCTGGATTTTTTGAACCAAGGGGATGTCTCTCCTGAACTGATTAGCATATCTATAGGAAGAGTCATGGTTCCCAGATGATAAACCCTTATGATTAACCTAATAACCTTGTCCATTGTCCCAAGAGGATGGACTACGCCAGATTTAGGATCATTTGAGTCAAGGTTTGCATTGTACGTAGGGTGGCAAAGGAGATTCATAATTCCCAGATGATGAACCGTAATGATTTTAAGCACTCAACTAAAGATAAAACAGCTGTCATTAAAGGGATATTCCAGTGTATAATTAAGTTAGGGTCAAATGCACGGTAACACCGAGTTAGACACCCCATCGAGAGATGAATGTTGTCGACCGCTTGCTTCTCTAGTTATACCAACTTTAGTAGCAACCACAGATAGCAATACATGCTCGACCAAAACGCCACTCTATACTCAGAACAGCACCTAACTTCATCAACAGTACATATAGGATCCCAGCCAAGAGACTAAACACAACTCACCTACTCTCTTCCAGCAATTTAATTTGTAAGGAGACCTACGGGCGAGTCCATCGAGTGCATTGGGGTGACGCAGCTCAAGGAAGAACATTTATGATTATTACTTTATTTCCCTGAAGTAGTAATCACCATCTTAATCATTTTGCGCTGCAGATGCGGTAGTTCTTTTGCCTTAGCGTCTCTGTCTGATCGCATTTCTATAAGGAAACAAACGGCTGCTGGAAGAGAGATGGTGAGTTGTGTTGAGTCTCTTTGCCGACGGAATTAGACAAAGTTAAAAAGATGTTTGGTGGCTAGTACTGTGGCTGGGACCTTATATGTACTGTTGATGAAGTTAGGTGCTGCTCTGAGCATTATTTGTGGCTATAGAGTGGCGTTTTGGTTGAGCGCGTGGCTCTCTGCATTGCTATCGTGCGGTCGTTACTAAAGTTGGTATGACTAGAGAAGCAAGCAGTTGGCAACATTCATCTCTCGATGGGGTGTCTAACTCAGTGTTACGGTGTGTTTGACCCTAAATTAATTTTACCCCGGAATATCCCTTTAAAAACAGCTGAACTGTGTTTTTATCTAGTTCACAAGCTGATGTCCTCATGTTGCTCACAGCACCACTGTGTCTAGCCCCAGCCTCTCGGAGAAACCAGCATGCCTGTAGACTCTAAGTCATGTTTCAAGCTTCATAATCTCCCTCAGTGTCACAGGAGACGTTAAACAACTGGTTTCACAGGCTGACTCCCTTTGACAAGTAAACTAATCTCAATATGTTAAATCCACAGAGCTCTCCTTTGATGCTGAAATGAGGACACTCGTGCTGATAAGATATGTACAACTAATGAACAGCCTGTCTTAGATTTTTAGCTAACAGTCTGGGATTGTGACACGCAATTCAATCAACTCTTACTGCACAAATAGTGTTATCCGGTCTGTAAATAAGGTAAGAAAGCAAATCCTGAAGCAGCACATGCCTATGAATCGCACATGCTACATGAATAACCGTCTGTTGAGAGGGTTAGTATGTTGTAATATATTTGGCAGGACCAGTAATTATAAAACTAGGCCATATTGCATTGGGAGATAATTAACGTTAGCCCGTCCCTGGGAGGTTTTTGGGGAGTTGGGGGAGGCTTTGACACAGCCTATTCAATTATGTCCTTCCCTGTGGGTCCGGGAACCCAGAATATAGAATATCTAAATTAAGGCACATGACAAATCTCTCATTGAGTCAGATAGAGCAGGTCACAGAAGACAAGGTGGCCGGCAAGTTTTCAGAGGAAATCATGTTTGCAGTGGGGTAAAGATAGATACTCTTTTATTGGGAGGCTTTATTCGTAGTATGAAGTGAGAAATACACCCACCTTATTTCAAAGCTTGCGCACAGAAAGGAGGCTTGTGTACTTAAATGGAAGAGTGAATAACTGTGTTTATCAGTGAGACATCCCTTGAGACGCAATATTTGTAATTAACATCTCATATTTCCTGGTTTATATACCCGAGGACAGTGGTGTACCCATAACGAGGCAGGGGGTTCTCCTGGTAAACTCAGTCTGAATAAAATGCCATGGATTGACCTTAAGTCGGGTCAGTCCTGACGCAAATAAAACATTATAAAATGCCCTCTTTGATGCCTTCTCCATGTAAAATGCATGGGAAATTGCTATCCCAGCTGATACGGCATCCAATATGGGCCGTTAGATGCCCATTTAGTACAAAAATATATGAAAATTACCCTCTGAATTCCCTTTCAGTATATAAACATAGGAAAAGTACCCCCTGGATCTTGTTTCTTTCTGTAAACAATAACATTAATGAGAGCTTTCCAGACTTCCTCACTTTGCTCTCAGTATGGCCATCAGTTTTTGAAATATATAAAAAGTGCACACTGATTGCACTTTAAGTATCTAAAATATAAAAATACTGCCCCATGCCGGCTGAAAGGATAGTCCAAAACAGTCCTAAAACTCTCATGGAGGCAGATCTTCAGTAACATTTAGAATTCCGCTGGATCCCCAGAAAGCTCACGTGACACCATTAATATTGTTCACAGTTTCTCGGTAACTATACTGTTTATCTCTATGGAGTAAATAGTGTTCAAAGCTTACACTTCTGGCAATCTATCGAGGGTTTCCAGGCATTTCTACACCTCCCACAAGGTTTGCAATCCAGTCACAAAAATAGGTGTTTGATCAAAGACTTTTGATGGTAAATCCGCAGTGAAATACCGGTGAAAACATGATTATTTATCATATTGTTGTGATAAAAAAAGGTGGCTATTACTATCGCTAAATGCCACTAATGTCTTCCGGGGTTGACAAGCTGTTTCGACTGCGTCTTTTTCTGTCAAACTTTCAACCAATTACATGGTCTTTTATTCTTCTTCTATTGTTCCCTTGACAATAGTGTCCAATAAGAGGCAACCAAAGATCAACAAGAGACAAGAAAGTTCCCTGCTTGTCTGCAAAATAAGAAATAATGGTCCTCAATGCTTGGAAACAAGCAAAGAAGAGATTACAAGCAGTATGATGTGGCCCTCTGTCTCATCCCAGACAGGAACTGCTTCAAGGAGTGACATAAACAACTGTAAATAGCAAAAAACACCTGTAAGAATTTGTGTAAATATGTAAATAGTTTCTGTTGTGTGTTTGTTCCAATCCAAATATTTCTTCTCCTGATAGCCAAGACTTAACAGAATGATATACAGGTGAGAAAAGGCTTAGTCACTGTAGATTTATGTGTTTTTTGTGCAAAGTACTGTTGGGATCAATTTCCGTTTCCGACAGCTGAGGTTGTCCTGAAAAAAAAAAAAAAGATGTGTATATATTTGCTGTGCTTGAATGGATAGAGTTGCTACTTAGATTAAAACAAAAAGGCGAACCAAAAATTGCAAAATATAGCTGGGACTTCTGAAGGTTAAGCACAACTTTCTCTCTGTGCACTGGTGGCATATATAGGTGCCCTTTTCATCATTTTTGCCCCAGCTTTCAAACAGCCTGAGTACACCACTGTCTATGAACATGAAAATACATAAAACTAGAGGAGAAATGGCAGCCAGTCCACAACAGATCAATAATGAGAGGCTAGAAACCCCTCTCAAATTCTTATTGACTTTTTTTTTTTGCGCCATGTGTGAAGCTAATTGCATTGGAAATCCCTACAAAGTCACGATTATAAGTTTTCTTGATGAAATTTGGAATGGCCTCCCGAACGATGCTCATGAGATGATGGGATTTAATTAGGCCGCAATTATAGACAAGATGCTAGCTGTAGCACTTACACCTGAAAAGTTGGCGCTTTGGAAATTATGGCTGAAATTGGTTTCTTAATGGATGTAACATAAGGCACAGTGAAGTGCGTGGAAAAAAAAAGGGGGGGAGGTTGTATGAAAAAAAGAAAGTTGGGGAAAATGAGGATGGTGGTAAGATGGAGCGAAAAGCCATTACAGTCAGGAGCCATTATCCCAGTCAATAAAAATGCATCATTGCCTGATGAGAAGTCAATTTCAGCCTTGATCTCACCAAAGTATTAAACAATATGCATCAATGCAAATCTGGCAGCTGCAGCAGTTATGGAGCAGGAACCTTAGGTCACAAATGTTTCATCGATTCCCTTTCGAATCCAAAGAAACAGGGTTGAAGAAGAGTTTAACACCATGGCTGTGCTAACAAGTACATGCTGCAAGGGATCAGGTATATAATGTGTCCCCCTTTGTGCTGTATCTAGCACATCATAGACAAAGAAATGGGTCAGTTATATTAACACGGGAATTTGTGACATTACAGCTGACCCCTGATGCGAAGCCTTTTCAACACCTGCACGCTAAAAATAGCATCCACGCCACCATAGAAGGAGCAAAGCAGAACAGAGGTACCCCATGTGACGATTTCAGACAAAGCGACTGTGAACAAAAGGCAAAGTAAAGCTTCGGCTCTACATTTAGCCCGACTACGGTTCTATTTGTCACTGTGATTTTGAACTATCATCAATAATTAAGCAGGAAAGCCTTTGTAGAATGTGAGACTGGAAATGTATTTGATGGATGTGAAGTCAACAGGCGCCAACTCTCAAGATGAGCTTTTATTACCAAGATCAGGTGGTTGAAATCAAGTCAGTGCAAAGATCACGGCTATTTCCGCCCCATTTACTCTCCAGACTTAAATAGCAGGTAAATTGCAAAAGTCGTCCAAATGAACCCGAAAGGATGGCGTTCAAGGGGACGGTAGAGAGAGAGAGAGAGAACAACTGGAATTGGTGACTGCTCATTGATCATGCAGGGTTTCTAGTTCACACACATACCAGGTGCTCTGCTGCCTGGTTGACCGAACCAACCTTGCTCAACAAGCAGCAGCTGCTGCACGGCGAGAATAGAAAACTTGTTGCAGCAGCATTTTCTACAGGTCTGTTCCTCAGATACTTTCAGGGGAGGGGAAAATCTGCGCAGAGTCCTTTTTCGACAACAAGGTTTTATGAACTGGAACTTTTTGTCCCTTCGTAAGAGGGTGTCCTCTTGTGATTTTATTACACAAACTTGAACCACTAAAGGAAAAAGGCAAGAGCCGAATTCGAAAAATACTTTATTTTAAGGGCTGTTTTGAGGGTAAGTGGATAAGCGGGGAAGAAACTGACAGGGTCCCAGAATCATTGGGTAATCTCATGAAGACACAGAACATAAGGATACCAGATTTAAAGGGTTTCCTGAATGAATTAAAGAATTTTATCACCTAGAATTATTTCAGACGTTATTATTTTTTTTCGAACCCGTATCCTGTCATTACAAGCGTTCACATCAGCATCGTTTTCCCATCCTCATTTTTTCGTATCACGGTCGAATTTTTTAAAGTGTCGCATACTGTGTGTCCACTTTTGACAAACCAAATTTCGTGTTGTTGCAACGTCTGATTCACCAGTATATCCAACATGGCCGACAGGCTGATTGTTTACGTGTCGGAGAACAGAGTGCTTTTTGATTAAAGACACAAATATAACAAAGATAACGACCTGAAGGACAACTTGTGGAGAGTCATAGCGTCGGATTTCTCATATGACGATGGTTTGTGTGCTTTAACAGTTTGCTAAACGTCTTTGTTTTAACTTTCATCTGTGCTAAGTAACTTTAGCTCGTAAGCTAACAAGCTACCATATGTACCATATGACACAAAATTGCATCGCTCTTGATGTGTATAGTCAGGTGCGTCAAAAATTCGCCTCTGAATATTTCGTGTCGTATGTTTGCGTCCTTCTCGGTGTGTAAGGACCTTAAGCCTTTCCTTACATGATAAATGCTCTCAGCTGCCCTCCTCACTAGCTGGACCCTTCTTGTTCTGAAAATCAGAGATACAACCTTTAAATGGTCAACAGTCTAACTGTGTATACGTACAGTTGTGTAACCTCAATTTTCTGAGAAAAAAAACGGTAACCCACATAGTTGGTATTGATGATTTAACCGGGAACATCTAATCCTCCTTCGTTTCATGGAAGGGTCCCAGCTGTGAGCCATGTAACACTATCAAAGGACAAATGACGGATACTTTTACTTCAGGAAATAACACTTCCCAGGGTGCAACACTATTGATTTTCTTTCACTTTTTTATTAACATGAGATAACACCCTGAAGGTGAATCCGGGGCGCTGCTGTTGTGCCTCACAAGGGTGATCCTTTACATCATGTCTATTACACTGTCTTCTTTATTATTGTTCCTCTAACCTGCCAGGAACTGAGAAAACTTCTTGTAAAGCTTTCAGTTCGGTACTCTCTCTGTCAGTGGCCTCGTCTTTCTTCAAGAATAAAGACCTAGACATGTGTATCCGTCAAAAAAGATTTTAAATTGAGTGCTGCAAACAGGCAAAAGTTTTTGGTTAAACCATTTAAGTTCCCAAGTACTTCTCATAGTTGACAGCCATGCTGGAAGTAGCACCTTTTGAGTTGTTTGAGTGGCACGGTGACAATTTCCTGCTGGGTAAAAGGGCTGAAAAGCTCCAAAATTGTAGTGGCAATCACAGCTTGTTTTGGCCTTCAAAAACTCACTTATCAAAGCGCCATACTTAAGCCTATTTATGCAACCTAATTTAAGAAGAATATGGACAACTAAAATTTGTTAATTTATCGGATAACCAAGATAGCATTTCTACCCTCCAGCAACATCAACCTAAAATCCCCCCAAAAAATCGTAGATCTCAGAGTACATTTAATTCCCTGATTCAATTGAATTGCTTTTGGTTTCCAATGGCCACCGTTGCCTTGGTGACAGGAGAGATTAATGTTAATTCATTGATCCTTTAATTAAGGTGTTCCATTCTCAAATCTTACTACTAGTTGTAGCTAAATATCGTCATTCTACGTACAGTACTGCACCCAGAAGCTCAATGGGGCCCTAAGCAAAATTTGATTGTGGGGCCCTCTATTTCTGCCAATAATATTGATTGTTGATCATTCACACACTGACGACAGTATAAATTTAATCGCCTGACATGTCTTTACACATTTAAGGGGGTGGCCTAGGTAATAACATAAATAATAACAATGCAACCATACAAATAATACCAATGAATGACTGATGAATGATGTTCAGGGTGCCACATATGGTTTTTAACCTATCGGCAGTAAGAATTATTGGCCTATATCAGCAGCAGCACTAAAATGTTTTTACTTTATCTTATTTTTACAATAATATGTATTTGATCATACAGAAAGCATCACTCATACATGCAAAAAATGAAAAATATTCAATTTATAATTATCTTTTTGATTGCTCTTGGGAGCCCCCTACTGGCTGCGGAGCTCTAAGCCGGTGCTTATTTCGCTTATGCCTTGGGCCGGCTCTGACTGCACCTTTATCATGTCTGATATGAAGTATTCTGGACTCAAAATGTATTTCTCAGCGGAAAATTTCAAACAATTTGGGGATATTTGGAAAGCTGTTATCCTAGACAATAAAAATAATAATAATAATGCTGATAATAATAATAATAATAATTATAATAATAACATGACTCTGAAGTGGAAGTCACTGCATGGGCTCAGACCCACCTCTGAAAACCATCAACGTCTAAATCGGACATGCCTTGGAAATCATGGATGTTTTGAAGAGGGTTGGAACCACTTGGCCTTTTTATTGAGCGCACAGTTAACAAGCTAGCATCTGGTGTAGTGTGGGAATCCATATGCAGCCCAGATGTGGGGGTAGCTTGCACATCTAGGGAGGCACAATCACCGCTCAGGGACTGACCAGGCGAGGCCTTTTCAGAGAAGTCCTTGCATACCTAAACGGGACAATGCCAAACCAGATTCTGCATACATGTCAGGTAATCATGTAATCAAGAATCAAGTTTTCTTGCCATGTGTTCCTGGCACAATTTCAACATCTGAAAAGCTTTATTGCTCTATTTTCAAGAAGACACAGAATTTAATTTGATTTTACACGTTTTACAGTGTTACAACTTTTTTAGAGTTGGAGTTGTGAAATAACTTTCTACTTCTGTATTGAAATAATGCACCATGTCCTCCAGTCATTGTGCAATGTCCTGGCTGATTTTGCAGCCGGCCCTTTCTCTCATCAATGAGTAGTTTTGAGCTCTCCTCAGATGTGAAAACGCAAAATTTCATGAGCTTAACTCTTGTCTCTTGTGGCTAATGATGTGGCAGCGTATGACATTTATAGAGGGGCGTTCAAAGACGCAGAAAATGACAAATCCCAGAGATAAAGCGGAGTGATATTCCCTTTTATCTCATCCTGCCGCTCTAAATTCAGATGGTTTCAAAGGACCATTCAGACCTAAAAGGTAAGAAAAAGTCTGACCATTAAACATATGGCTGCTTAGCTTTACTTTGCATTCAGGGGAGGCAAAGATAAAAAGCTGCCCAGAAGTGCTACTTGGGCGCTGAAGTTATTGCTATTGCATATTCCTGTGGAGCATGACTGTTTTATTTAGGCCATCCTTCTTGTTACTTTCACCATTATTTATGCCTTTCCCCTTTTTTCAGCTAATCTCCTACAGGGTGAGATGTATACCGATGGAAGGCAACCGTTATCCACATGTGAATTAAGGTGAATTGCAAATGGTGTATTTCATCTGATTGACACTAAGCACTTAGCACATCTCTAAGGGTGCGGCTCTAAAGCAGCCATATGTTAAAGAAATGCTTGTTAATGTATTCTGTTTGGGTTTTTAAGTCTTGTTCTCAACCCCTCCTGAGTGTAGACAGCTAAGTATGTATATGTCAATCCTTAAAGTGGTGATCAAAACTTAATGTGCATGCCTAAGGTGCTAGTCCACCTCTGGGTATAGCAATTTTATCCTCCGCTGACAATAAAGGGAAGATGAACTGTGTCGACTCTGTGGCAGCACCCTGGGTGATTTTCCACAGATAAAGGCACATTTTCTGGTTCAGATCTGGTTCAGAACACGATGATATGAGGCTTTTTTCAGAGCAAAGCTCAGAGCGGCGTAGTGTGATTCCACAGATCTGGTCTTCTATTCATCACCAACAGGGCAGCTTGCAGTTTTTATCTCCTGACATTCCCCAGATGGAGTGTCAATCCTCCACTAAGACCCCAGCTGAACTCCTGAGTAATATTTCTCTTCATTTTTAAAGGTATATTTCACCAAGGTCAAGCGACAACCAGGGGGGGCAACGCCACTCATGCAATCAAGAAGTTACCCTCCTTCTTACGTCTGCTCCTCTTTGGATTGCAACTCACAAATCCTCTGCTTGTCAGCGCTAGCAACAGCTTACCAACCCTTCACGCCACTTCAAAAGCTCCTATCTTTTGAAGTTGGCGTGCAGTGGCATTTGCAGGGCTGAAGAGTTGGTTTATCCAGCAGTCGTAAACTGTCACATCTGCAGCACCGGGCTGTTTGATTAAGCTAACGTCATTGATTGTGACAACGTGCAGAGTGACTCAGTGGGGGGAAAAAAACCAGTGAGGGCTTCACATGAGAGGTGTTTTAAAAAACTCTGCCATGGGGATCGCTTTGATTCTTATTGCAGTTTGGTCTTTGGAGGCCCCCGTGTTTTTAAACGCGGAATTTGACGGCTCCCAGATCATTTAAACACTTGACCCTATATTTGAAGTTAGCGTAAAGACAAACCGCCCAAACATCTGACCATTTGAAATTCAAAGGTGGGATAGACAAGCGGTTTACCTGTCCAGCAGAAAGGTTACAGGGTCCGTAAGATCCCGAAGCCTCCCCCATTGTTTATGCTGATGTTGACCCGGCTGCTTAGCTCTTGTTCGGTCTACCTCCTTTTTAAGCGCCCGCTATTCTGCCAGAGTCTCCAGTCTTGCTTGTGTCCGCCGTCAAAGGAAAGATTTCGGTACTTACTGGTTGCTTTCTACTGTCCGATATTGTAGGACGCTAACTTTGTTTTGTCTCGTGAATGTTAGTCAAGGATGCGGACCCTGCCTCACAACCAATCAGGTTGGGGAGGTCGAGAACGGCTTTGTTTACAGTCTGAAAAGAGTGGGCCGCTCAAAAATGTTGATATTGACTACACAGACACAACAATATTGTTATATTACCAAATGTCGTCAATAACTAATAGCTATTGACTGATATTAAAAGCTTTTTTGAATATACACCACAAAAAAGATGCTTCTTTAACAGATTCCTGCCTACCCCACCTTTAATGCCAACAACAAAATTCAAATCAACCCAGACAGGGACAAATAACAAATTGTCAATAATGTTGCGGTTTAACCATCTTTCTTAAGAAATCTTTACAAAAGTAAAGAGGCCCTGAACTAGCACTGGATCGCCATCATCTTCTCTTTCTTGGCCACTCTGGCGTGTGGTTGGTGTAGCCCACTTCAATACGCAAGTGTTATTAAATTCATGAAAAAAACAATATCCTGATTCTGTTGTTAGAGCTGCTTTTCTTCTTTGTATGTGTTGCAGAAAATAACGCAACACAAATATGACTCTGTAGTGGAAATTGCAGCATAAATACACAATCCTGTGACGCAAAGAGGATACCGTTTATGAACAAGATCTAGAAATGCTGATGAAATGGAAAAATATCATGTGGTCCACACAGCATACACAAAGAAGACCCACAATTTTAAAGCCACAGAAATCAAATATCAGGCAAGAATGAGACAAATTTCACCTTCAAAGGTCCAGAAACTGA